ATGCTTCCATGGCCCTTTATCAACAAAACTCCCTATGTACATAATCTCTTCTCTGAATGTCTCTTTGCCTTCCTGTGCTATTTTCAGGCCACTTTTCCTCCCTAAAATCCCTCAGCTTTGAATTTCATGTCATTAGACTACACCACCCACTACGCCTCTCTTCTCTACTCATCTACCAATCCTTGGATGACTTCCTCTCATTTCTTGAACGTTTTGGCCCCTGGCTGTCACTTTCTGGTACTAATTCTGTCTTAATTCTTGGAGATTTCAAAATCCTTCCAATATCCTGGGCTCTCAGTTCTTTAATCTCTTCTCCTCTGATGACCTTGTCTTCTCCCCTATCTGAGCCACTTTCTCCCATGTTCATACCCTGGTCCTTGTCACTACCAATGACTGCAACCTCTTCATAATCTTAATTTCATGTATCCTACCCTTTGACCACCACCGCCTTTCTTCCTAACATCTTTCCAACTCATTTCCACTAGTACTGTATTTCCCAAATTGCTTTGATCCTACTGGGACCTACAATCTACTGATTCTACCTCCTTCATGCATCTCTACTTTATTGTCCTGTCTTCCCTCTTTATCCAATTTAAAGCCCATGGTCAATTGATAGAATCACTCCTTTGCATGCACCCTCAGTACCCCTGCCTTTTTATCTCCTTTGTCACGCTTATTTGGTAAATTGTAGCCCTGGTGATTCCAACTTGCTGCTTAGTCTGTTCCTAACACGAATGGAGAAAAAACAAAACAAAACCCACACTCATCTAGTGAGACTCACTATAAATTCCTAACCACCAACTTCGAGTGGACCCTTCATGCTGCCTGGTAATGCTACTACATTGCCTAGTCCATTCACTTTTCTGGGCTCCTAGATGACTACTCATACCTTCTCTCTTCTCAAATCTCCAACAGCTTCTTTCTCCATCATTCCTTTTAGCTGATGACCTTGCTTATGTTATTTCCCTGAGAAAATAAAAGCAACCAGAAGAGTTCTTCTACAAGTAGACACCACCACATATACTCTATCTACTACCTACTTCTGTGTCTTCCTCCTTCTTGTACTTGTGAATGCTATTTAAGGCCAATATCCTCACTTGTGCACTAGAGCCCAGCAATTCTCTTATCTCTCTCCTGCATCATCAAATTTTTTTCTATTTCATCATTTCCACAAGCATAAGAACATTCTGTGATTTCTTCCATCTTTAAGAAAACCTGTCTTAGAGCCTGGCCAATATTCTGCTGCCACGGCCCAGCCATTGTCTACTGCGACTGCTCTCGATCAAAGAATGATTGTTTCTTTTAAAAACTTTTTTGATAAAGAAAAACATTTTTGTAGAAAAATCTACAAAAAGGTAAAGAAGAAAATAAATCCATGGCCACCTAGAGAAAATCTGAATTAGCATTTTGGGACATTTCTTGCAGAAGACAGGGTGCTCAGTGAAGAGGAACCTGAAATCTTTTCATAGTCTGTTGCTGATGTCTTGCTGCCATGGTGGGGTTGGGGGGGCAGGGGTAGGTGGTGGTGGTGGTTGGTGGTGGTGGTTCTGGCAGTTTGGGCTTCTTTCATTTGGAAAACTCAGCAGAATGGGTCATATCTGATGGTAAGGCAAACATTCACCCATTGTTCTTGGAGAAAACAGTGAGATCACTTTAATTCTGCAAGCACATGTTGCAAAAGTGTCTGCCGTATTGAAGATCAAGTGGTCTTTTAGCCAAACTCCTCCATGGGGTGCAAGGAGAAATCTGTTTCCCAGCAGTGTTTTAAAACTCCACTGTGTGTCCCCTCCACAGAATTATTTCAGATGGAATATTCTGTCTGCTCTGCGCTTGTGTGGAGGATACACAGAGTTACGTGGGCTGCCGGGATGGCTTGTATGGACCCAGTCACCCCCTAACTGCATGCTGGGGGGATTAGGAAGGATAGTTGTTCACCTTGGAACTGTTGGTAGGGAAGGGCTGGCTCTGTGCACCAGGTAAGGATGCTACCTGCCCTGGCGACTTAAAGCAAGACATTTCCCCAGCCAGCCCACTTTGCCCCAGGGACCACAGTGTCATTGCCCATGTACAAACATCAGAGAACTGAGCCAGGCTGCAGATAACCAGACCCTGGTGACAGGAATGTGGATTGACCCTTAGGTCTCAGCTTGTGAGAGGTGGAGTCGAGAGTCAAACCCACTATGCCAAGCTCCTTCTGGAAAGGAAACAGGATAAATATCCTGCAGGCAAACATTTCTGCCCTAACAGGAAATGATGTAATCCATCAAGTTCAAACAGAGAAACAGGCTTGAAAAACCAAGAAATAAAACGTTATGAGAAGGATGTAGACTTCTTTGAGTCCGCCTGTCAAGAGGCAGAGATATGAAGCTTGGCAATATCATACTTAGTCCATAAAAGCAGAATGGACACGGGGGATAGAGACTTGGTAGTAAAAGATAACAGTTGCTATCGAGTCAATTCTGACGGACGACAACCTCATGTATGCCAGAGCAGAACTGTGCTCCATTGGGTTTTCAACAGCTGTGATTTTTTCTTTTTTTTGGAGGAGATCATCAGACATTTCTTCCAAGGCATCTCTGGGTCAATGTGAACCACCAACCTTTCAGTAGCTGCGCGTTTAACCATTTGTGCCACCCAGGGACTCCAGAAGATAGAGGTAAAAAAGTGGGACTCTAACATTTAAACAAAACCAAGACATCTGGCTTGATCTTTCTCTAGGGCTTATTAATTTCTTTGATGATGATATCAACTAAGAGGAATACGATGGAGAGAGGTAAGATGGGGGGAAGCTGTAGGAAGAAGAAACGGCAAAGGAGTCAGGCTGATGGGACCAGCTGGTCTGACCCAATCTTCTTATTTTCTATAGATGAGGAAAACTGAGGCTTGGAGAAAGGATGAAACTTTCTTAAAAAAAAAAAAAAAAACAGATCCCAGTGCTCTCAAGCCCTGCCCATTAGCAGTGAACCACAGGCCAAAGAGGAAGATTAAAGTCCAGGTACAAGAAAGCAGTCACACACCAGAAAGGAACTATTCTCGTCAGGCTCCATCACTTCTTGGCCTTGGGCAATCATTGACACTTTCTGATCCTCAGTTTCTTCATCTGTAAAATGAGGATGACGATGGTTCCCCTGGTAGGGCTATTGTGGGGGTTAGGAAGCATGAGGCTGGGCAATATGGCAGGAGTTTATTTTAATGAGGTAGTTATTTCACCGCTCTCAGGGAGCACAGGTGGCTGGAGAAACTACTGGAAGCAGCGGTATAAAGAGGCACTGACATCTTCCCCACCCCAAACTTCCTGGACTGGTCTCCAGTGGCATAACTGACTTTTGAATGGGCCCAACAATACTCTGTCCAGGCACCCCGGACTGTGGCTTGGTGAGCCTGTGGTGCCAATACAGAGGACACACTGACTATGTGTCCACTACAGGGTCCCTAACTCTCACCCCTCTGTGGGCAGGCACTGTCCAGAGTCCCAGCCACAAGGCCAGGGGCTCCCGACTGTGCACGCTGCCCAGATGGCTTTCAGAGTTGCATGCCATGAGGAAGCAGCAAGTGCAGCTGTGTCAGGAGGGTGCTTTGGACAAGCCACTCCACGCCTTGCAACCTGGGCAGGAAGGAGGCCTTCCTATGCTCAACCAGGGCTGGCCAGTGGGAGAAGGGTTGGTTGCGACTTGGTTCACCTTTAGGCCAGTGCCCAGGCTCCATGTCCTATGGCCTCCCTGTGGCATATGGACAGTCTGAAAAAACTCCTGGAAGCCTGGACCCTTCCCATAGCCTCATTCCTAGCCTCCCCTTCCTAAACTGAGAACTTTACAGCCAGGGGAACTTCTGGTTGAAATCTGAGGTAGAACTAGGATCTGGGGAAAGCACAAAGTTCGAGGAGAGAACAGAGGGTAGCAATGGCTTGAAACCCAGTTGTGCCTTGCCTTGTAGCAAAAGGAAGCTACAGACACGTAAACTGTCTATCCCCAGCCTCTGAAGCTCAGAGTTTGCCTGTCCCACCGCACCTGGTACATACAGGGGTTTCAGTGTAGGCCCAGTCATCTTCCCCACCTCTCAAGAGGCTCCAGCCTCAGTCTGCCCCAAGCCCTAGGTCAGGGGAGTCTCCCCAAACCCAGGTATCATCCCAGGCCTAAGCAGGCCCACTTCTCTAACCCTTAGTTGCCTTTAGGGTGCCTCCAGCCAGCTCCTCTGGTGCGGGGCTGCCTCACCAGGGTACCTGGGGCAGAGTCCAGGTTCCTGGGGTTCCTCAACCTGATGCCCAAGCAATATCTACCCATCTGTCCATCCCTGAGTTGTCCCATAGAACAAGCCAAGTCAGGGGGCAGGGAGGGGCCTCCACGTTTTATTAGGAATATGGCAGAAACAGAGGCTGAATGAAGGCAGAGCAGCCACATTTTTAACGACAGATAAATTAACCGCAGTTTGGGGTTAGGGGTGAGGGCTGGGCCAGGCGCTTTAATATAAAAAAAAAAAAAGACAAACAAATGAACCCCAAAGACGTGGGGCAGGGGAAGGCAGCACCATCCAGACAGCAGGGAGGACCAGGGCAGACAGAGAGAGAAGGCAACTTGTCTTCCTCAGCCCCAAACTCCACCAGCACAGGGGCCTTGGCCTGGCCCGCGGGGGCTTCGGGCAGGGGAGCAGCTGGGTTTGGCAGAGATGGCACGGCCAGCGGGCAAGAAGCCCAGCACCACAAGATGGCTCAGCCTAGAGTGGAAGCTGGGGGCGGGGGCGCAATGGCCTTAGGCCCCCAACCCCTCCGAGGAAGAGCCTTACTCTGGGTGAGGGAAGGGACCAAGGGTGGGGTCTCTCCCTGAGCTGAGAGCGGTCATCTCATCCACAGCAGCGGTGGGCAGTGGGGTATGCCAGGGATCCCTTTCACCTCCTTATCCACCTGCCTCCTTGGTCCCTTCGCCCCTGAGGGGGCGGGGTCTGAGTGAAGCCAGTCCAGTCTGTGGTCCCCAGCTCCAGCAAGGGGCTGTTGTGTGGCACAGGCCTCAGCCCTGACTCCCACAGGAGGAGAGTGAGTCATACAGAGAGTCACTGAGGGACTCTGAGGTTTCCAGCCCTGGAGCACCCCCGCTGGCCGCTCTGCCATCCTCACCCATGTCTGATGTGCTGGGGGTGCGGCTACCTCCAAACGCTGGACCTGGGTGTGTAGGAGATGGGCGGCTGGGCTCCAGGCTTGGCTTCCGGTCCACGGGCAGGGCCTGGGAAAGGAGGGAAAGTTTGGGAGGAAGCTCCTCTCCACCTCTGGGCTAGCCTGAGAGGCACTCACTCTGAGAGGACATTCTGCTCCCCTGACTGGAGGGATGCAGATGGGCCTCCTAAGGTGGGGCGTACTTCAGAGGAAGCAGGCTGGATGTACGTACTACCAAGCTTTGAGAGAGAGGGCAGAAATCCCTCCCAAAAGGAGTATGTGGGAAGGGCAGGTGGGTAGACACCCAGAGGGGCATCTGAGGGGGTGTTGCCTCAGCCCTCCTCCCCAGTGCTGTGCCAAGACTGGACAAGATACAGATGGTACCTCATTGAAGACACTGGTCTCCCCATGTCACTCCCTCTTGCCCCCCCAGTCCTGTTCCTCACCCCTTCTGCAATTCTCACCATGGGGGTCCTGGGCAGTCCCTCCAGTTGTCGGGGTGGGCAGAGGAAAGGGTCAGAGGAGCTGCCAGCTGCCCTTGCATTGGGGAAGGTCCAGTTTTTGGCCAGCTGGACAGGAGGGGGAGGACCTGGGTCTTCACAGGGATCTGTCCAAGAACCATGGGAAGGCAGATGTGTTGGGTGAGGGTGTCCAGAGATTCACCCCAGGGAGTGCCCAGGACGTCCTACCCACTCGCCTGGACACTCACCATCAGGACAGGTCTTATGGCCCCGGTGGCCCGGCGTCGCAGTGAGCAGTGCGGGGAAGGCCGGCATGCTCGGGTGCCGCCCACTCACCAGTAGCTCCTCTACTCCCGGCACCTCACGCTCCAGTGTGTGGGCACGGCGGGGGACTTTGGTAAGGGGTTGGGGTCGAGCTGGGGGTGCCCCAGGTGGGGGCTCCAGCCGTGGCGGCTTGGTCTTGGGCAGATTCTTGCTGGGAGTCCCACTGCTGCCATGGTCTGGGGGCGGGAAGGTCCCAATGCCACTGTCCAGGGTTCGAGTCAAGGAGCCACAAGCTGGGGAGAGGCGGGTAATGTCAGGGAGGCAAGGCTGTGGCCCACTCTCTCTGCCTTCTTCCTCCAGTTTCCTGTCCCAGCCCAGCCCCCACACCTATTCAAGGCCTCTCCTGGCCCAACAGGCTCAGTTCACAGAACCTGAGCCCAGTTGTCCCTGCTGCCCTCCCCCAACCTGCCCCAGGCTTTGGGAGGAAGGCAGACCAGATACCCCTGAGGGCAGGACGGGGATTTATTCCTGTGCAGCCCCAGTGCCCACCTAGTGCTTGGCACCAAGATGGCACTCAGGGCCTGTCACCTGCTACAGTGTCAGAAGGGGTAAAGTGAGCAGGCAGGGGGTGAGACTGCAGGTTCCATCCTTGGCACCTGACCCTGCTGACCTGTGAAGTGTGAGGTGGGCACTGGCTCGGCCAGGCTATCCTCTGAGGGGGTATCTTCCCGCCTCCCCAGTTCGCTGCTCGGCTGTGAAGTACAGAAGACCTGAGTCCATTCCACCCCACTCCAGCCCCCTACCCATGTGGGTCCATGGGGTCTCTGCCATTGGGGACCCTGGAGTATAGGTCCGATGGTTCTTGTAGTCTGCCCCCCCTCCCCAGGAAGCCCCCTACCAGACCATGAATGTTTCCAGGCCCCAGGGAAGGGGAGCCCTCCAGGGGGTAAGAGACTTGGCAGGGCCAGAAAGCTGGCTCCTTTACCTAGCCCCAACCCCAAGAACTTACCTTCCCAGGAGGTTTCCCACAGCCCTGAAGAGGTCCCACCAGGCCATTTCGGGGCCCACAGGCTGGCCAGGGGTTTTTGGGGTCTGAGGATACTGGCTGAAAATCCCCGTACTCAGGCTTAGGCTCCCGCCAGCTTTTGGGTGGCAGCTCCTTGCCATCCACCCTAGGGGCAACAGTGCAGAGGGACATGAGGGAGACCTAGAGAGGAGATGGGCCCACACGATATTCCAGCCTCCTATCCCCGACTAGCACAGGGCCTAGTGAGGCCCTGAAGAAGGAGACATATCCCTGGTGGTTGCCCCCTCCCCAGCCCCTTCTGTCACTGGAATAAAGCAGAGACCCTAGGGAAAATCCTAGTGGAACAGCAGGGCAGGGGAAAGGATGGGAGAATACCCCTAAGCTACCCAAAGTCGAGCCTAGAGACCACAAGAGTGTTTAGAGACACATGGGCAGACCTGTCATGTGTCCTGGTCCCAGCACTGACACACCCCACTGACTCCAGCTGAACTTCTGAGCACGCTTGCTGTCTGTACCACACCCTACCCGGGGCTCAGTCTCTTGTGACTTTCTGGCTCATTGTGCCCAGACAGAGCAACCCAAGATGGGGTGGGCCCCTTCTCTGAATCATAGCTCCCATTGCTGAGTCTGTGGAGGTGCCAAAGGGCAGCACGGGAGGAGGCCCTCCTTGTTCTATAGGATAGAAATCCCTGGGGGACAAGTTCTTCTTCAGCCCAGATGGGACCCAGCACTCACATTAAGTACTGTATGCGAGGCACTCAGATGGGCCACTGCATCTGATGCTGGAGTCAAACCAGGAAAACGGACTGTTCACTCTTCTCCAGTCAGTACGTGGGTATCAGCATGTCTGACACCAGAGCCAGCAAGGGGAGGGGTGGGCTACAAACCCCAGGCTTCTGATTTGAGCCCCCAATCTTTCCTCCAGGCCAGGTTACTAACCGTCAAAGATGTTTTGGTGGCATTGCACTTGACCTCCTGCTCCTTCAACCTCTGGGAAGCCTGAGTTCTCTGGAAAGGTGGTCCCAGCTCCAGACCCAGGTGTGCCCACAGTGGGAAAAGTGCCCACAGCCCACCGTGCACCCGTCTGATGGGTCCCAGGCCCTCACCTGTTAAGCAGCTGCTGCATGAAGGTGTCTGCACCTTGGTACATGCCAGCTAGCTGGCCCTGCACCTGTGGCCCTGGGGCTGGTTCCCCGGGCCGTGGCCGGGCCCTGCTGCTTAGGTAGGCCTTCTCCTCCTCCAGGGCGCGGCGCAGGTCTTCCGCCTTAGCCATCAGTTTGGAGATGTTGAGGCTCTCAGCCTCCAGCTTCCGGGCTTCCATCTTGACCTCCTTCCGAAGCGGGGAGCCCCCGCTGGCCCCTTCCTTGCTCTTGGTGGCCTCTGTGCGGCGGTTCAGTGCCGGCAACTTGCTCTTCTTAAGGCCGAACCAGCTGGCGATACTGCTGGTGTTGCGGTGCTTGGCCTCGGTGCCTGGCGCCCGCTCCTGGCCCTGGAGCCGCAGCACATTCTCCTCGATGCCCTTCATCACCTTCTCCTCGATGGCGGAGTGTGGGGCTGGCCCCTCAGGGCCTTGGTTTGGGTCAGTGGGGCCAGCTGCTGGGGGTGTAGGCTGGGCTGTGGTGCTACCACAGTCTGCCCATGGTGGACCCTTTCCCTTGTCAGGTTTGGGGGGCTCCTTATTGGCTGGGGGGACTACAGGCCGGGGCACCACCTTGGTGGGTGATTTGGAAGGTAGCTTTGTAGGGCTGCTGTGGGGGCTCTTATTGGGCTTGCCCAGGCTAGGGGCTGAGGTTGGCACTTTGGCAGGGGTACGGGGTACCTGGGGGCACAGGGCCCCTGCCAGCCGGCTCTTGGCCAGCTCCACTTTGGTGAGGCAGCTCCTTGGTGAGATGGGATCCAGGTCTACCCGGGCCCCCATGGAGTGGGAGGAGTAGACTCGGGCCCCAGGGTCCCCTAGGAGCCCGGGTTCCTGCTGCTTCAGGCTGCTTGTGCCTAAGGCCACTGTGCCCCGCAGCAACCCCTTAGCTTCTGGCTGCTCAGGGGGCCTGGAGGTGGAAGTCACCATGTCTCCAGTGCTCTCCCCTGACCTCCCTGGTCCCCGGGCCTTCTCGGTGCCAGGCCTGGCTGGCACCCCATTCTTTTCTGTGCCTAGAGGCCCCTCGGAGCCTGTCTTCAGTTTCCCCAGGGCTGCCAGTCTGTCCCGCAAGGGTGTGTAGCCAGGATCCCCAGGTCGCCGCCCTGCCCCCTGGCCAGATTTCTTGGATGAGCTGCCTGGGGTCCTGTGGCCAGGATGAGGGGACTCCGAGCCTGCCTTGTCCAAGCTCTTCTCCTGGGGGCTCCCAAAGGGGCAAGATTCTGGGAGGCAAGGGCTGGGAGGGACTCCAGGGCTTCTGAGGACCTCAGGGGCCCGTGGCACCTCTAGAGTCAGTTGTGGGTAGGCGGGCACCTGCAGTGGGGATGGAGGGGGCTCTGGGGAAGGCCCCCTAAAGGTGCCCCGGGAAAGGTCCAGGATGTTCTCGTAGCAGGGAGATATCACCGGCCCTGGGGACAGTGTGGTGGACAAGGCTGGCTGGGGGGGTCTGAGCTGTGCACAGTCTGGGGTTGAGGAGCAGGGTGAAGGGCTGGTGGGCAGGCCCTGTGCCCCCTCAGGGGACAGCTCTCCTCCCCCAAGACCCCGGCGGGCCAGCAGTGGGGAGGGGCTCCCATCTGAGCCACCATTTCTACAGGGGATTCGGGAGTTCCGGGGGAGCTGGGGGCTGAGCTGGGGGGCTCCTGGGCTGGGGACCTTCTCTGAGGCTGAAGGCAGCTTTAGGAACTTTAGACCTCTGGCTGCAGAGGGCAGAAAGGGTCCCTGGGCTTCTCCAGGAGAAGGCGGGCCAATTTGGAGCTTGCTTTTCACCTGAGATAAGGAATGGGGGTGGCCAGGCCGTGAGCCCAGGGGGGCATCCCCCGCACCCATGAACATGCTGAGGAAGGGGAGGGGTCCCTGGCCCTCTGAGGTAGCACCAAAGCCCAGCCTGTGGGCCTCTGGGGTACCCCCACCCCAAGCTGACTTGGGGAGGCCTTTGGACTTGGACAGCTGTGGGGGCCCCTGGTCTGGGGAGGATGTCTGCCCAGGTCCTGGGTGGTCCCCGTTGAGTGGGCCTGCAGCCCCCGCCAGGAAGGCCTGTAGGTAAGACTCTGTGTCCTCAAGGAGCTGGCCCAGGTTCAATTGTTTTCGAGCCAGGGCACCAAGCAGGGTGTCGGGGCTGGCTGCCTCAATGGGGTCACCTGTCTCATCAGAAGAGGAGGAGGAGCTGCTGCCTGGGGCACAGGGTGGACCAGAGCTGGAGCCCTGGGCCTGGGGAGGTCCCCTACTAGGGCCCCAAGGCCGCCCAGTACCGTCTTCCTCTCCCAGGCCCCCCAGGAGGCGCTCCCAGTGCAGCAGGCCTCCCAAGCTGCCAGGGCCTAGCAGCAGGTAGGGGGCCCAGGGCGAGGGTTCAGGCCGGCGCGGGCCACACAGCTCGCCATTGATGGGCTCTGGAGAGCCAGGCCCCTCGCCTGGGGGCTGCCAGGGGGTGGCAGGTGAGCACAGAAGCACTGGGTCAGTCTTTTCCAGGGCTCTCAGCACCTCCAGGATCTGGGCTTTCTTCCGAAGGAATGGGGATAGGGCATCCAGCGCCAGGGGTGGGGTGGCCGGGGGTCCCGGGCCTCCTGGTCGCAGCTGCTGTTCCCAGCACACCTTGGGGGAGAAACAGCATGAGAAGGAGGACATCCCCTGTGCAGCTGGGACCCTGTTCCAGGCCCAGGCCCTGAGCTCAGCATAACTGAGTACGTCGGGAGCAGAGCTGGGGCTGGCCCCTCAGGGTCAGCAGCAGCCAGTTGCTGGGAGTGTGGGCTGGGCTGTGGTGCTACCACAGTCTGCCCACGGTGGGCCCTTTCCCTTGTCAGGCTTTGGGGGCTCCTTGTTGGCTAGGTGGGCCTGGGTGTCTGTGCTCCCAAAAGGAACTGACAGCTCCTGAGGTATGGTGGCTCAGAGTCCTCAAGGGTCGCTAAGCCCTGGGCACCCCAACTCTACTTCCTGGCACACTTAGGGATGGACAGGCAGCCCACTTCCCCTTCCTGGTTTTCCCAGCTCTCCCCTCTGCTGTTTGGGTCAACAGGTTGACCACCTACAACTCTGACCTCTTTGCTTGCCGCAGGGGAGTGAGGCCTGTCCATGTTTCAGACCCCAGAAAGAATACAGACACTCAACAAGGAATGTGATATGGAGTCCCTGCAAGCAAGCCCAGCCTGCATTAGGTCAGCTGGCTGACACTGCTGACCTGATCCCAGGCAGGAGGAGGAGGATGGGGACAACTCCATGCAAACCCTTCCCTAGCCTCTTCCTGGGCTCAGTACAGTTTGGCATAGTGGTTAATCACATGGGCTCCGGAGCTATACTGTGGAGGTTCAAGTCCTGGTTCTGCCACTTAACTACCTGCTGTTGAACCTCTATGCTTCACTGCATCATCTGCAAAATGCAGCGGTAGCTGTGTTTGTTCTTGTTGCTGTTGTGTGCTGTCGAGTCGATTCCAACTCATAGCGACAATACAGGACAGAGTAGAACTGCCCCATAGGGTTTCCAAGGCTGTAAATCCTTACAGAAGCAGACTGCCACATTTCTTCCCTCAGAGCAGCTGGTGGATTCAAACTGCCTACCTTTCAGTCAGCAGCTGACCGCTTAACCACTGTACCACCAGGGCTCCTGTGCTTAACCTCATAAAATAAGATCAATGAGATCTAAGTTGTTCAGCACAGTGCCTGGCATGGAGTAAGGGCTCAGAAAGTGTTAGCTAGTACTCCTATCACACTACTGATGCATTTGCTTACAGGGCAGGGGCTAGGGTGGGGATCTGTTTTTCTTGGTGAGGCTGACAGCTGAGGGCTCACACCTCCAGCCTGGGCAAGCATCTGTACACCAGCAGGTGACCTTTCCCTGGAGACTCGTTAGGAAACAGCAGTGAGTACAGACCGACTAGCCCCTAGCTCGTGAAGCCCCAGACCGCTGTGCCCAGCCCTCCTACCTCTCTCTGCCCAGCACAGCGCCCCACAGGCAGCAAGGTGGCTGGTCCCTCGGCGGAGCTCAGGGAGGGGGAGGCTGGTGGCTCCAACGGTGGCTGGAGTGGGGTGAGTGGGATCTGCAGAGTGAGAGGCAGAGTTAGCACAGCTGCTCTCTGGTCCCAGTGCTCTGCATCCTTGCTGAGCCAGGCCTTCCCATCCATATCTATCCTTCAGGGACTTTTCTGGCCCAAGGCGCAGCTCTTGCTGCTGTTCCCACCAACTCATCAGAGAAGCCTCAGGAGACCATGGCATGGGTAGATTTGAAGATAGTGCAAGGCCTAGGTGGCAAGACAGTGGGACCAGTCACGCAGCTTTGGAGAAAGAGAAGCGCCCCTGGGCCTGGGGGGCAGTGGGCAGGTCTAACCGCGGGTGCCCATCTCAACTGCAGGACTGCTCTGCTCGCTATGGCACTTCTTCCTCTATTACATGGGGCTAATGCAAAGGCAAGGAGCCTGGTGGCACAAGAGTTAAGCACTTGGCTGCTAACTGAAAGGTTGGCAGTTTGAACCCACCCAGCAGCTCTATGGGAGAAAGACCTGACCATCTGCTTCTGTAAAGATTACAGCCAAGAATATCCTATGGGGCAGTTGTACTCTGTCACACGGGTCGCTATGAGTCAGAATTAACTCAATGGCACCCAACAACAACAATGCGAAAGCCCTTCCTGTTCGGATCACTGTGATTCCAGGGTCACAGGGTGGCTGCGACTAACAGAAGAGGCATTTGCTGCCAAGTCCTGGAAAAGAGTCAGAGAGATAGCAAGGAGTTATCATTTGTCTCCCCCAACTGGTCTCATGTGAAACATCTACTCTGAGGATTACCGAGGTAGTATTTAATCACGGGCCCCTTCTCTCTCAGTCCCTGAGAATGTAATTTCCTTCTCCCAGGCATCTTGGCTAGAGATAAGTCAACTTTAACTCTTCCCTCTCCCTCAATCTCCACAGTCATTAAAGCCTATCTTGGTGGCATCTCTCTCCCAGCTCTGGCCCTCTGCAGTCTGCCCCTTCAGCCCAGACCCTCTCATCTCTGGTGTGGACGCTTCTCAGCACCTCAACCAGTCTCCCCGACCTGGGTCACTGGTCCCTTCACTCTCCCATGTACATAGCAGCCAAAAGCACTGTAGTACTCAAAAGCTTCCCATGCCTGCTCACTGCCCACGGAAACCAGTCTAAACTCCTCCGCTGGCATTCCCGACCCCACTGGTTCTTCTGTTTGATTTCTCTCTTTCCCTTCATGCATCCTTTGCTCCAGCCAAGCTGAACAGCTTGCTGCTCCCTAAGCTTACCTACCCTGGGATCTCTGCTGATGCTGTTCCTCCTGGGAATCCTTTCTCACCAACTTTTAAAAAATCTTCCTCCCTTCAAGGCCTAGGTCCAATGTCATCTTTTTAAAGGAGCCTTACCAAAACCCTTCCCTGGACTACTGGGCAGCACTTACCACATTCTGTTCTGTAGCATGGCTATCTACAGACCTGCCTTAGTTCCCGGCAGCCCCAACCTTCAGGGTTACAGTCACGCAGCACAGGCCACAGCCCTTAGACAGGGCCTTGAGATTCAGTCCAATTCTACCCACATTTTCAAAGGCACTGCTCCACAATAAGAATTTAATTAGCATTTGCTCAAAAGAGCTTCCATCCTAGCTAAGTGCAAACTGGAAATAACATTAATAATGATAAACAGCTGTCATTTATTAACCAACCACTACGTACCAAGCACTATACCAAAAAAAAAACCAAACCCATTGCCGTTGAGTCGATTCCGACTCATAGCGACCCTCCAGGACAGAGTAGAACTGCCCCATGCGGTTTCCAAAGGGTGCCTGGTGGATCTGATCTGCTGACCTTTTGGTTAGCAGCCATAGCTCTTAACCACTATGCCACCAGGGTTACCAAGCCCTACAGATTATCTCATTTAATCCTCAAGACAATGTGTAACGTAGGTATTTTTATCCCCATTTACAAGGAAAAAAGTGTGGGTCATCAGGTTAAATAATGTGCCCAAGGTCACACAGCTAAGAAGTAGCTAAGTCAGGGACCCAACACAAGTTTACCTGCGGCCAAGGTTCATGCTCTTTCTATTAAGTCATCTTACCTCTGGGTAAGATAAATCCATTTCCCAAAACCCTAAGAGGTCCCAGGATTGATTTTAAAAAAACAAAAATGAGTTAAGGGTTATTTACACCTCTGTTATCATCCATCATAGAGAAGGGCACGGACGCGGTGAGCTTGGCTGAGGGGTGGGGGTTGGATGGGCCTCTGGGGATTCCAGTGTGAAACTGGCAGCAGGCAGACCTGGGTCCAGGAAAGCTGCAGAGTCACGGCTGCTGATTCAGCCCCAGCTCTGCACTATCCTGGTGAAAGGGGCTCGAGAAAGGATGAGGTGATAAGGTGCTTTTACTGTGAGGGGTCCAGGGCTTCCCAGCAAATGGAGGGGTTTTGCAGTCAGTCAGACTGACACACACACATGCAGAGAAGGTGCCTCTTTGCTTGTTACCGAGAGAACCTGCTGCTTACCTCAGGTACCTTGAGCTGCTACTGGTACCCCCACTTCCATGTCTGACCCTATCCATGGGGGTTTTTGACAGAGTAACCCCAGGTGACACCTGAGCTCAGCCCAGGATTCATTCCCAGTAGCCTCCTGCTTCTCCCAGGTCAGGGAGGTATCGGGGCTAAAAGCAGGGACCAGTGTCTGCGACACGCCTGTGTGACAGTGGGCAAGTATATGCAACTATGCACAGAGTTATGGTGTCCTGACCTCTCTGGGACACCAAACATTGGGCTGCCTTACACTCGGCCCACCCCCTGCCCCTGGCCAAGAAGCAGCACTGTCAGTGGCCAGAGGGGCCCTTTGGGAGCTTGAAGTAATTGCATTTCCAGCCTCCACCCATCTCCCCACACGGGAACAAGCATGACTTTCTCTGTCAACAAGAAGGGATGCCATCCACTGGGTCAGGAATCAGCTAAGCTTGAGAGGACTCAAGCAGCTTTTGCCCCACCTAAGGCTCAAATCTAGCAGGCTAGGCCGGGCTTCCCTGATGGCCATAGCCCCCTAAATGGATGAGGGATGGCTGATGGCCGTCTTCTGCAGGTGCTTGTGGGAAGAGGGTGATGGTGATGATGATGATGGGGCCGGGGTGGGGTGGTGGTCAGGAGGAGGGAAGGAAAAGCACACATGCCCACCTGAGGAAGGGAGCCTGCTGTAAGCTGGAATTTCTGCTGAAACAGGGCGCTCAGCATCTGGTTCTGCCGCTCCAGGTCAAACACCCTCTTCTTCAGCTTGATGCACTCCTCTCTCAGGTCCTGCTCCGCCCAGGATGGGAAGAGGTGGACAGGATGACAGGGAGAGTGACGGGGTATGAGCACAGACCTCACCAGAGTAGCGGGCACATGCTCTGCCTCGAGACCCCAGGAGTCCTGCTGTGTCTGCCCTCCTCCCCACCCTCCTTCTATGAAGTACTGGGCCTGCCTGTTTGAAGCTATAGCATCTTCTGATGATGATGAATTTCCTAAATTTACTACTCCTGGTGAGAGATATATCCCATCCCCTTGGTACCTTTCCCATCCCTGGAAACAATCTCCTGCCTCTCAGAAACCACATGTCAAAGAAGGGCCCATATAGGGCAGAGGAAGGTCTGCAGGTCAGAGTGGTCCATATGTCAAGAAGTTACTCACAGTACTTGGTAAATATTTAGATGTCATCTTATGCTCACAGCATCACTGTTGCTTTCAGGGTCTTTACAACCTGGTGAAACCAGCTGGGGCCAGGGTAGGGGAAGGATTCAAGCCCCAGTCAAAGCTGCCATAGCTCAAAGAGACTGGCCTTACCTAGTCCCATCCCTGCCTCCAGGTGGAAAAGTATGGTCCTGCCTACAGCAGAAAAGGGAGGCAATAAGGTCATCTCCACCATATCCTCTCCTCTAGCCTCTATCCAAGGCTTCGCTGAGCAGGCTCAGGACCCCAGGAAGGACCTCACTCTATCCCCAGGGCATCCTGGCTTGGAGGTAACAATGTCTGCTGTGGCTGCTCACCTTCTGGTTCAGCAGTGCCTGTACCACGTGGTTGGCAACCTGGGGACAGAAAGCCCGCAGCAGAGCTGTAAGCCGCCTGGCTTCAGCCTGGAGCAGACCAGCTGTGCCCCTCCACCAGCACCAGCCCCACTACAGAACCTACAGACCTCGTCCAGACAGCGCTCATAAGTCTCCCGCTGGTTCTCGTTGGCCTGGGCAAGTGCCGAGTTCTCTGCCTGCAGGATGGAGGGAGAAAGAAGGCAAAAAGGAGGCTTTGGGGATCATTCTTTCCCCAGGGCAACTTCCTTTTGGGGAAGGGGAGACAAGGAGTCCACTAGCTACAGCCTTGCCCCAGCTCTCAGCTCCAGTCATGTTCTGACATGGAGAGGCTGCACAGACAGGTCATGGGTATCAAGACGGCAGAGCTCAGGTGAGCTGGTTTTCTGTAAACCCTGACTGAGAGGAACTGAGATGGGAGGCGCCAAGAGTAACACTCATTTCCCTGCAGGGTGGGCAGAGAGGGCTAGAGGGAGCAGGGCAGGGTCTTAAAAATGTGGTGAGGGGGCTGGTGTGAGTATCTGTCCTCTGTCCCTCCGCTCCTGACCCCTGAGTCACCCAACCCTTTCCTCCTATGACTTCTGTGACTCCCCGCCACAGGACTGGCAGGGGCAAGAAGGTGGGGAGAAGAGGGTAAAGACAGAGCACTAAGGGCAAGGAAAGGGCTTCTCAGAGAAGCTCTGCTAACAGAATGTCAGCTCTACTCCAGCTGGCAAAGGGAGCTGCGAGGAAGGTCCACTGCACCCACAACAGCCCAAAGCTCAGAGGAAGGGGTAGCTGTCCCTCCTCCCAGGGCAATGCCCCACCCTGCCCCACGCCACACCTCCAGCTTCCGCAGTCGGTGCAGAAGCTCCTGGCAGGTGCCTGGCTCCATGCCGCCATCACCCCCCTCTCCTGGCCTTGGGTTTCCAGGCCTCCCAGCCAGCTGGTCCATGGTCTCTGACATCAGGTCCTGGAGCAAGTGAGAGAAGCCCGGGTAGGCTACTCCAGGGCATGAGGAGGAGGTGAGTGGAAGAGGTGGGGGACAAAGATGAAACTCGTTAGTATTCTTGGAGTTTAGATCAGTGTGACCTGTATGCCACATACACTGTAACAACTCAGTGTCGGGCTGGGAATCTCCTGGCCAGGGACACAGATGCTCTCTCATCTTAAGAACACAGACCATTGTTTTATAAACCCCTAGACTTGCATGCGGAGTCCCTGCGTGGTGCAAATGGTTAATGCACTTGGCTGCTAACTGAGAGGATGGAAGTTCAAGTCCACCCAGAGACACCGTAGAAGAAAGGTCTGGTCATCTACTTACAATAAAAGCAGCCACTAAAAACCCTATGGAGCACAGTTCTACTCTGATACACATGGCATCACCATGAGGTGGAGTTCACCTGACGGCAACTAGTTTGGTACACTTGCACACATTCTACCACAGATCACAGGCACTGGGCTAGGAGAGGAGAAACCTGAATTCTCAGCTGGGATTGGCCTCAAACTGGCAAGTCAGTTAAAACACCTATGTCTCAGTCTTCCCATCTGTGAAATAACAACGTCACTTAATCTCACCCAGTGGCTGCAAACAAAGATTAGGTCTACGAAAGTGACTTGAAGAAGTTATTAAAAAAAATTTACAACACAAAGGTATTACTACTCATAATAGTAACAATAAAAATAGTTTTTTAAATTCTTGAAACTGATTTAACAGGTAAGACAACTAGGATTTTGTCCTGATGCTCAGCGGGCTCCCCTGTCTAGAGCAGGGACACACTTTAGGTAGTGTGTGGACAAAACCCTGGCTTATAGCCAAAACGTTCTGCCTGGCTATGCCTACTATGAGCTGGGTGAACACATAGAAACTGGCTCATTCATTCACTTGGTCAACAAACTGAGCCTCAGTTTCCTAACTCTGAGAAATGGGTAGAATTCTTCCTTCTTTACAGAGTCTTTGTGAGAGTCAAACATGATCACCAATGGGAAAGCACTTTGAAAACCAGTCTGCAAAGGTGATGTTGATACTTCTTGGAATCTGTGGAGAAAAGATCTAAGGTTGGGAACCAGTGACCTGAGTTCTGGTCCTGGCTCTGCTGCTCACTGCCGATGCAACCTAGGGTGAGGCCCTTGTGCTCCCTGGGCCTCCGTCTCCCTCTGGATACAGTGAGAGGTGGCCTGCATTGCCTCTAAGGCTACTCCTTTCCAGTTCCAACTGCTCCAGGTGCCCCCACCCTGGAGGGAAGGAAGGCCCCTGCAAACCAGAACCAGCCTCTTTGTGTACACTGTTCCCTCTGCAGGGGTCTCCTGACCCTCCCCTTTCCACAGGACTAGCTCCTATTCAGTCTTCAGGGCTCCTCCTCCATGTCTGGGGTAGGTGCCTCTCCTGTTTGGTTCTGTAACTGTCTCCCCCACTAGATTGTCAACTCCGTGAGGACAGAGATATTGTATTCACTCCACTGTCCATACTCAGTTCCTGGCGTGATATCTGGTAGGAGTGCAGGAGACAGACTGATGACTAGACAGACTAGTTTGAGAGACTAACCTCCACACGCACAGGGTTCTGACCTGCATCGCATTATGTGACCTCCCCCTCACATGCACCAAACTGTTGCCTTAGTAACTGGTCTTCACCTTCCATGTGAATTTGAGTTTCAATTTCTCTGCTAAAGGCAAGTGCTGATTTCCTTCTTCTGCACAAGTATTGTGGAGGTTCCCAGGAGGTGGGCAACACTCCTTATTGCAAAAGGGTGAAAGTCCCCAGTCCACCACTGACTACTCCCCTCCCTGCCCCACTGAAGCTAAAACACCAGAAAATTTGGCAAAATCAACAACTATAAAAACACCAGTATAAACTAAAGCAACAGCACATGCATGTAGAACGTGCCCGTGAAACCAGTCACCCAGTGCAGTAACTCACGGTGTCACCGCCTCCCCAATGGACCTCCTCCCATACCAGACCATACAGAATCCTTGGTAATGTTTTTTATACTAATGCTGCTCATAAATCATAATTCCCATATATCACTCCTTCTTTTCCTTTAATTACTACTTCATTCTTAAAAAAGTTATTGATACAGGTTCACAAATACTAATTACCACAATATTACAGCTAAACACCAGAAAATCTGACAAAATCAGCAACTGTAAACACGCTGGCAGCAATGAAAACAACAGTGAGCGTTTGTAGCACGTGCAGATGAAACCACATGATTCGAAGCATCACTGTGATTGGGTAATAATGACAGCTCTGACCGGAGTGCATCAGAAGGTTCAAAAAGCAAAAGGGGCTTAGAGTGTTAGGACCAAGGAAGAAGGATCCCTCAGCAGCTCACCAACCAAGGCACTGAACACTCCCTACTCCGCAGTGGCATCACTAGGGTGGTGCGGGGGGTGTGGACTGCACTGGGTGACACTGTCAGAGGGGGTGACACCAAAATGACTGTCTATAAAAATATCCCTGTAGTTATAACAACAAAAACATTTTTTGTTAAGTCCAGCTTACATGTAACAATATACCTACAAGGCTAAAAGCCTATGCTAATTTATTTTTTGAACCTTCTAATGCACTTGGGTCAGAGCTGTCATTATTACCCAATTACGATGATGCTTCGAATCATGTGGTTTCATCTGCACGTGCTACAAGCACTCCTGTTGTTTTCATTGCTGCCAGCGTTTTTATAGTCGTGGATTTTGTCAAATTTTCTGGTGTGTTAGCTATAATATTGTGGTAATTAGTATTTGTGAACCTATATTAATAACTGTTTTAAGAATGAAGTCGTAATTAAAGGAAAAGAAGGAGTGATATATGGGAATCACGATTTATGAGCAGCATTAGTACAAAAAACATGACTAAGGATTCTGTATGGTCTGGTATGGGAGGAGGTCCATTGGGGAGGTGGTGACACCATGAGTTACAGCACTGGGTGACACCAACTCTAGTCACACCACTGCTACTTCGTCTCCACAGCAGGGCACAAGGGATGCCTCTCCATATCCCCACCCTCTTTCTTTGATCCCCAACATCTGCAGTGCAGGCCCCAAAGCCCCTCACCTCTCTACCTCCTCACCAGGCTGGTACACTCACTCTGCAGCCAGAACGGTCACCTTGCCTGTGGAGAAACAGAGGGAGACTATTTCAGTCATGCATTCCACAAACATGTGTTGAGCTCTTGCTGTGGGTCAGGCACTGGGCCACAGAGGGGAATAGGACAGACAAAGCTCTGCCTTTACGAAGCTTCCATTCTATTGAGAAGGTGGACAATACTGGATAAACCAAGGAACATACGATGTCAGGTCAGGTCGCGATAAGGCACTGAAGAGGTGACAGTTCAGCACAGACCTAAGTGAAGTCCGGACGAAATCCTGGATTGAGAAGTGCATTCCAGTCAGAGGAAACAGCCAGTGCAAAGGCCCCCGACACTTGGCCAGGAATCATTCAGATGACGGGTGAGAACAAACAGCAACATATGCACTTTTTGGCCCTTCCACAAACATGCATTGTCTTCTTTAATCCTCCCAACCAGAAGAGAGTTAAATGCTATTATCGCCACCTGTATTTTAGATGTGGAACAGGAAGTTACACTCGCATATACTGAGTGTATCTTGTGTGTCAAGCAGTGTGTTGGCACTTTCTCATGCATCGTCACATTTAATTCTCCTAACAACCTTGCCGGGGCGGGGGCAACAGCAGTGCGAGGAGCTTACTGGACAGTTCCTGGGTTTTCTTCCTGTCCCTACACCACACGGCCTTTCTGTACACATAACAGTTGTAAGTCAAATTCCTTACATCCTGTGGCTCCTTACAGCCTTGGGGCTCTCTGCAGGTACACCTGGCATAGGCTCCTCTCTGAGCTTTGCACTGGATAGCTCCGGGTTAGAATCCTGACTCTACAGTTGATATGGGCAATTTACTGAACCTCTCTAATCTGTTTCCTCACCTGTCAAATGGGGATAAGAATCCTTAGCCTAGGCTATGAAACACACCTCAGCAAATTTAAAAGAATAGAAATTATGCAAAGTGCTCTCTCAGACCACCCTGGAATTAAACTAGAAATTACTATCAGAAAGAGAGCTGGAAAATCCCCAATATTTGGAGATTAAACAACACACTTCTAATTAACACAGGGGTCAAAGAAGAAATCTTGACAGAAATTAAATTATATTTTGAACTAAATGAAAATGAAAATACAACTTACCAAAATTTGTGGGATGCAGCGAAAGCAGTGCTTAGTGAAAAATTTATAGCACTGAATGCATATTTTAGAATACTTAGCCCAGAGGGCTGTTGGAGGATTAAATGAGATAATGCATGTAGAGTGCATGTAGAGTGTCTGGACTGGACTTGGTAAATTCCTGGCCAAGTGCTTTTCGTATTATCACATCCTGACATGAGTACAGTGCAAAGCCCTGGGGTTGACATGGAGCCTGCCGCCTACCCCCTCAGTTCACGCACAGGCAGACCTGACCCCAGTCCCCTCACCCTGGGGTCTCGGCTATATGGGTGCCTGAAGATGTCTGAGAGCACTGTTCTGACCCTCCTGTCCCTCAGTGGCCTCCTCCTCCCCAGCCCACTCCCTGCCATCTCTCCAGCCCCAGGACCAGCTCAGCCTTCACTCTTCTCGGCCTGATACCCTAGACAAAGCAAGTGGCTGGATGTTGTTCTTTTTTTTTTTAAATATAATTTTATTTTGTTGTTGTTGAGAATATACAAAGCAAAACATACACCAATTCAACAGTTTCTACATGTACCATTTAGTGACACTGATTACGTTCTTCAAGTTGTACAATCATTCTCACTCTCCTTTTCTGAGTTGTTCCTCCGCCATTAACATTAATTCACTGCCCCCTAAGTCTCCTTTCTCATCGAGTTGCTGTTGTCAATTTATCGCATATAGATAGTTCTTAGAAGAGCATAATGCTCAAGGCAGACATTTTTTCTAGTGAAGGTAAACTACTGTTTGGTTTTAAGAAGACTCCAGGGTATATTTTTGGTTTTGGGTTCAAAGATGATCTCAGGGCAATAGTTTCAGGGGTTCATCCAGCCCCCTGGGCTCCAGGAAGTCTGGATTCCATAAGAATTTGAAATTATGTTCTGTATTTTCCCCCTTTTGATCAGGATGCTTTTATGGACTCTTTGATCAAAATGTTCAGTAATGGTAGCTAGGTACCATCCAATTCTTCTGGTCTCATGGCAAAGGAAGCAGTTGTTCATGAAGGCAATTAGCCACACATTCCATATCCTCCTCCTATTCCTGACTCTCCCTCTTCCTCTGTTGTTCCAGGCAAATAGAGACTAATTGTTGTGTCTTAGATAGTTGCTTGTAAGCTTTTAAGACCCCAGGCACTATGCATCAAAGTAGGAGGTAGAACAGAAGCACTAAACACGTAATTAGTCCATTTAACTGGGATGTCTCATGAAACCATGACCCTAAGCCTCCAAACCAAGAAACCAAATCCCATGAGGTTTTTGGTTGTACCTACGAAGGCTCAGTAGCTTTTTTTTTTTGGTCATTGTTGTAAATACATCTAACACAGAACTTTTGTGGCTGGATGTTTTGAGGGCAGGATAGTAAGTAGTGGAAGAGGAAAATGCTTCTTTCTGAGTGTGTTTGTGTGTACGACAGTGGGAAGGGGGCTCCTAAAAACATTTAGAAGGAAAAACTGTGATATTTATTTTTAACTCTCCTTAAAATCTAAAGTCCTTTGTTATTTTAATACCATAAAAGATGGATCATATATAACTTAGTTTTCTTATAACATTATCATGTTTATTTAGAAATGTACAGGCCTGAAAAAAATGAAAATAATTCAGGAATTATCCTTCTTCCCACATACAAATAGGGATTAAAACCAAAAAAGTGCTCAGGGGAAAAAAGTGGTAGGGGTTACCCAACCTTCAACTCATTCCACACCCACCCTATAAATCTAGTCTCTGGATCATCATCCTCTCACCCCAGCTAGAAAACATCCACTGCTTCATGAGAGGTTCCAGCTTGCGTGCTTCCCAGCCATTTATCACCAGCTTTTCCCTCAATCCCCTCACCACTTATTTCCCTGACTGTAATGGCCTGGGAAGTGAAGGGTTGGGGTGGGGGTGGGGGCGAGACTGGGGAGGGCAAGAAAAAGTGAAGGAAAGGAATGGGATGAGTAGGGCAGTGTCAAAGGACCAGAAAAGGATAAAAATAAATCTAGTTTCAGAAAGCCCAAGTTTTTGTGTTTTTTACACAAAAATAAAAATCAAACAAAAGGTAAGAGTAGTTTAGGAGAATAGTTTTTCCTTTAAAAAAATAAAAATTCAGGTTAGGAGCGAGGCCCAGATTATGAAGGACTGGTTGTACTGAGGAGGGTAAAGACCCAATACCCCCCATACAGCCAACATCTAATCTGAGGCTAATTAGGAATTTGGGCCTCCTGAGTCTGGGTTTTCTGCCTCAATTTCATGGGAAAACCTGGTCAGCTCGCCAGTGTATCTCCTTGCTGGGGTCAGTGCGGCCCCCCTCCCCAGGGGCCAGGTGCCCTCCTCCTCCCTAGGGGCCCACAACTGCTTCTACTCACAGCCTCTGTGCTCAGCTGACCTGGGGCCCAAATCTGAGCCCCTGTGGATCCTAGGGTAAGAAGGTCCAACTCTCCTTATAATTTGAGGGAGACCTTGCAATTTTTAAGCCGCCCAAGGGCAACAGTTCTTTCACACGTGTCTTGTATACTCTGGCTGGGCCTAGTGGAGGCTCAGGAAATGTTGGCTGAAGGAAGGCTGTGTGACTCAGCTCCACTTTGGGGGAACAGCTTTTTGCCCTAACAGCAAGGAGGTATGGGCCCACCCAGGACAGAGGGGGCCTTCTCTGCATCTGCAGGGCTACCACAAGCAAAGGGAAGGCAGCAGTCAGCCCAGATTGTTGAGGAGTCACAGGGCAGAGGCTTGCATTTAAACTTGGCAGTGGGGAGGAGCACACGGCTTTG